AGGTGGACGCGAAGGAGAAGAGCGGGGAGGGCGCCGTCCCCAGGGCGAGCGGGGATCCCCGAGAACGAGCTGCTGTGGGTGTGGCTAGAGTTCCCCCAAAACGCAGCGCAAGGCCTGGTTAGGGGCGCGCGGCCAAACGCCGGGGGTAGCGGCCGAGCTCCGCCCCACGGGATAAGGGGAAGGAGGCGGGAGAGGCGGAAGGGAGGAGAAAAGGCGGAGAAAGTCCGAGAAAGGCCCGCTGGGTCCGCCCCCAGCTCGCCAAGACACGCCTCCGTGCGCCCCTCCCCCGCGCGGCCAGTCACCGGCGCACCCCCACTCTCTAAGGCACTGGAGGTGCAAATCCCGTGGGGTCCCCTTTCCCCCGAGCGCGGCTGTCTCCCCGACAAACCCTGGTGACCCCCCCCTCCTCACTCCTCGGGAGTTGGGCCTCTTCTCCTTCCAACACGCTCTCGCCACGACCCGCCTCCGCGCGCCCCAACCCGCAACACTAAGAGACACACCTTTCCCCCGCGAGCGTGGCTGTCTCCCCCAAATACCCTGGTGATCCCCCCTCTTCGCTCCTCGGGAGTTGGGCCTCTTCTCCGTCCAACACGCTCTCGCCACGACCCGCCCCCGCGCGCCCCAACCCGCAACACTAAGAGACACCCCATCCCGCCTCGCGTCTCCCTTTCCCCAACCCTCAACACTCGCCAGGACGCAGCCAGTGCGCCCCTAGCCACGTACCCCTCTCCTGGGCCCAGCGACGAGCTCTCTGGCCACGCCTCAGTCCGGGTTCCCCCCGGGGCACGTCCCCCGTGAGCGTCCGAACGGGTCATTCCGCAACCCTGGCGGAACCGGGAAATGGGGACCCCCGGATGAGCTGGAGCTTACACCCCAGAGCCCCCCCGGAAATGCGGATCGGGGTCATCCGGGCGCCGTGTCCCTCCCCCGAGTTACAGCGCGGGGGTCGCCCGGGATCCGCCCCGTGCGCTCCCAGTGCCTTTACGCACGGCCGCCTGCGCGCTCTCGGCGCTCTAGCGCGGTAACTGTGAATTGGAAACAACTGTGCCATATCCCCCCCACCCGGTCCTGTTTGGGGGTGCTTTTCATCTCTCTCTCTCTCTCTCTCATCCTTTTAATATGTAAATATCTCTCAGCTCCCGGCATTCGCGGGCCCGCCTTCAACATGGCGCAGGCGGAACTGCCCGGGATGTTTGGCGACTCCGCCCCGGAAAAGGGGGGCGCGGGCGGGCCGTGGATGCCAGCGCCCCACCTCCTGGCCCGCCCTTTAGGGCGCTGTGTCCCAATTGCAAAACGGTTTGAAGGAGGCGCCTGCATTCAAACAGAAACCGGCATTTGGCACCGCGCGCGCTCCTTCCAAGTTTTCCCGCGTTGTGCGTTTTTACGCAAATAACCGGCACAAAAGGAACCGCCAATTAGACGCCCCCCGGTGGCAAAGCCTGAATTAAGCGGAAATGCAGTTTGCCTGCAGGTAGAGCTGGTTGGAGACGGCGACTTTTCGGTTTTTTTTACGTAAAAAAAACCAAACATTCAAACCTGTAAAGTATTTTTGTGAGTTTTTTTTTTGAGCCACGTGGTTGACAATTGCCGGGAAGGACAAGCTCAACGGATTGAGATAATTTTCCAGAGAATGGCGGTTTTTCACCGTTTCATTTTATTTATTTATTTTTTATTTATTTCAGAGAGAGAGAGAGAGAGAGAGACATCCATGATGAGAGAGAATCATGGATCGCCTGCCTCCCGCACGCACACCCCGCACCAGGGGACCCAGCCCGCCACCCGGGCCTGTGCCCTTGACCGGGAATCGAACCCGGGACCCTTCAGGCCGCAGGCTGGTGCTCTATCCACTGAGCCACACCGGCTAGGACCCACCTTGTTTTAGACCAATGGTTCTCAACCTTGGCCGCACCTGAGAGTCACCTGGGAATCTTTTTAAAATCCTGATTTCTGGGCCTCATCCTCCGGAAACTCTGTTTCTTTGTTATGGGGAGGGGCCACAACGTTAATAACAAAGA